AAAAATGTTGATGACACAGTGGAATTAGTAGTACGCTTGGTGTTGGGAAATCTACGATTTATAGAGTTGTTAAAGAAGAGAAATGTGGCGAGTTTCAAACAGCACGTAAAGCTCCAGGAAAACCAAAATTTCAATTAGAAAATCTTTTTAAAAAAAGACTTCGAAGGAAAGTGCATGCGTTCTTCTTTAGAAAAGAATTTCCGACAGTAGACAAAGTTCTTGCCACGGTTCGAGATGATAAGGATTACCCTGAAATGAGTCGAAGCACACTATGGAAACTTTTAAAAGAAATAGGTTTTCTATGGAAAAAGCATTCCAGAAAGTCTATTTTAATAGAAAGAAGCGATATTGTAGTATGGAGAAGAAATTACCTAAGGACTATAAAAGAAATGAGAAACCAAAGAAGAAATATATTTTATTTAGATGAAACATAGATCAACGAGGGACATAAACCAAATAAATTTTGGCAAGATGAAACTGTTACAAGTCGAAGACAGGCTTTTTTAAATAATTTATCTACTGGTTTAAATCCACCATCAGAAAAGGGGCGCAGACTAATAATAGTACACATCGGTAGTTCAAACGGTTTTGTTAAAGATGGTTTATTGACTTTTGAATCTACTCGTACCGGTAACTACCATGAGGACATGAATGCTGATGTCTTTAAAGAGTGGTTCGAACAAATTATAGACCTTTTTCCTCAGAACTGTATAATAGTAATGGATAGTGCAAGTTATCACTCGAGACTTATAGAAAAAATGCCCACAACCAAGTGGTTAAAAAAAGATTTACAGAATTGGTTACATTCAAAGAATATTAAGTTCCATCCCGGTTCTGTGAGAAAAGAACTGTATCATTTGTGTTCCCTTCATAAAGAGAAATTCAAAAAATATGAAATTGATGAAATTGCAAAAAATCATGGGATGACGGTGGTTAGATCACCACCATATCATTGCGAAGTAAACCCGATTGAACTGACATGGGCACAGATAAAGGGAGAAGTTTCAAGAAAAAATATTTCTTTTAAAATGAGTGATGTTAAACAGTTGTTTTTGGAGGCTGTAAATAATGTGCTTCAGCTGTTTAGAAGTTATAAGCAGGTTAATTAGGTGAAAATATGAGTGTATACTCGAGGAATAACTTTAAAAAATATTTTAACTGTCTACTAAAATAAGTGCTACGCCTATGGATTACGAACGCTTTATTTTAATACTCTCTCATACATAAAAATAGACTATAGTAACACACATTCCATTAAGTGTTTGATGCACTTTGAAATTTTATAATTTGAAAAAATTTGGATGGATAAGCAGATATACCTGTGTTGGCTAGTCCCACCCCGGGACACCAGGTACTGCGCATAATAGAAAGGGGTCGTAAAATATGACCCAAAAAAAGTGTTTGATTCAGAGGCCAACAAACAACAATTGAAAGTTTAGGTAATTCTAAAAATACTAGTAATTTAGGCAGACACTTTTGAGAGGGTTTATAATTAATAAATCAACCCCAAAGTTGATTTTTTTTTTAAAATATCATTTGAAATGTTTGATTCATGCTGAAATTTTAATAGCGTCTTAATTTTCCGGGGTTTATTTGCCGGCCAACATAAAAATGAATGAACCTCGTTATGCGCCACTGTACATTGAATAAGTATATAATTATATATACTTATATAATAAAATAATAATATTTTTCCTTTTTTTTAGGAAAAAAACTAAAAGTTTCGGGGCTCGAACCACCAACTTGCTATCCACACTATCAAAATTTGGATAGTACTAATAATAACACTAAGCAATATGTATGAACAAGTATCATTCACTATTTTCCATTTATTTTATGTCTTAAAATATACGCGCCCCTGGTTTACAACTTTCTAGGTAAGCTACCAATTCTATTCATCGGTAGGCGTGTTCGTAGCATTATAAATGCGCTTCCTTGGTTATTTAGATTTGGTGTTTACTGTACTTATTTACGTATTTTTTTAACATACTATTCTGACAATACTGGTAAGTTTAAAACCCTACGCCACTGGCGAGCATATTATGGACACTGTTTACAACGTTGCCAGCCGGTCCTAAGAGATATCTTTCTCTCTTCCACAATAACAGTCCGCAATTGTATGGGATTTGTGAATGAAACATTTTGTCTTTATGTTGTAACGTCTTTGGTTACATAAGAAAAGAGTGTGCGGACCTTTAGTGTTTTTTTTGAACAATCGTTTTTAATGCGAATTTTACAGAAAACTAATATCAGTAGCCAACTTTGATGTGGGCTATTTTTAGTTTTTAAATAAACAAAGGCGATTACCTTTCGACGTTTTTTCAAATCATATTATTAAAAAAAAAAAATTCCAAATGGATCCAACTTTATAGAACTTTGTATATTTTACTATAACCCTTAATTAGATTAGATTACTTTTAAATACACTTGGAGTATAATTAAGAAATAAAAAGATAACTACACCCTTCTAGAATTATTACTACAAGACGCAGTGGCGGCTCTCGATAATTTAAAAAAAGGGTGTTCACATTTTCGAAAGTTCTAGCATTTCTCGACAATTCTAACGATTAGACAACACTGCATGGTCAATGACGTGTATCGGTTTTTATTACAAAAAATCTTAACATGAAGATTTCTTATACCATTGTCCACTCAAATTAAAACTCACTGCTATATAGTATTAGTTGCAGTTTTTTCAAAGTTTTTTCGAATGCCGTATCATTCATTCATTCATTTTTTTTTTCAATTTGCAGTCGCCACAAATTAATTTCCGCATTTCGACATAAAGATCGTGAGAATCTTTAAAAATCCCCGCGAAATCCTTTAATATTCCACCCTTAACCTTTCGCGTATTCTTTTTTCCAAAACAAACTTTTTCGCCACTTAGAGATAATCGTTAATCGCACGAATGCCTTTTTTCTTTTTCCCCGTGTTTTTTCATTCGGTAAGTATCCCGAAAGGGGTTAAAAAAATAAGAAGGGGTTGAAAGTATTCGAGTGCGGTATCAGGTGCTGGCTTTAATCGAAAAATCTCTTGTCTTAATCCGCAATTATTTCTTAAATATTCAAAAGGTATTCAGTGTTGGATCTTTAATATAAAAATCGCGGGTATTAACGTTGGGGTGCGAAAAGATTAATTTTTTAAAACATTGTTACGTATATCAGATAAGACACTGTTTAATATAAATAAAGAATGTATGTTAAATATTTGTTTTAATAGTACAACTACCCCCACTTGCTTTATCATATCAATAATTATTAATTTTAATTTAACTCAATTTATATTTTTTTTTTAAATTACTTATAAGTTTAGTATATTTTTTGTTAATCTAGTACCTTTTCTTTAAACTTTTAGTACGTTTTTATTGACAGTACTGGACACTGAACACTAATAGGAGAATAAACACTCTTGAGGGGTAATTACTCCCTGCTAGGCACTTTTATATTATTTAAATGTAGGTACCTACTATTTTTTACATAAGGTACTGTAGGTATTTTTAAATAGGAAATAAATTTTGAAAAGAATATAAATGTATGTGTAAAACTTTTCAACAAATGTGATAATTGTGTATAAATATAGATATTTTTATTTCGGTATGTACTTAACTACGAAAAAAAATATAAGTAAATTAATATAATCTGAAACATAAAATCAAAATGATATTGGAAAACAAACAGAAAAAAATGTGTGCATTCACTGTTTAAATAAATATAATTGTAATCATAATTATAAACGAATTATTTGGCAAACGTGCTAAAATATGAAAATGTCAATTCAATAGAAATATTCTATACAAAAAATTAAATCCTTTAGGATCATCCAAAGAGCTAGACTGGATCACCTGATCATTTTTGGACAGACTATAGAAGGACTAAGAGGCTTAATTCTCACTAGATGGCGATACTGACAAGCTGTCAATTTATTCTGATATTCTAATAAAAAATTGCAACTTTTAACAATATTTTATAAAGAAAAATTGCTATATGTATGATTAAAAAATTTTAACTTAGACTAAGCCATTTCATTATAATCTTACCATAATTTAAGTGATCTGGTAAAACAAGAAATTTTATGAAAATGGTGTTTTTTTTGGAACAAAGTAATGTTATTAGGTAATGTTATAAAGTAATGTTATAATATTATAAAGTAATGCATTAAAGTAATGTTAATGTTATAAAATAATGTTATAAGGAAATGTTATATAGTAATGTTATAAAGAAATGTTATAAAGAAATGTTATAAAGAAATGTTATAAAGAAATGTTATAAAGAAATGTTATAAATAAATGCTATAAAGTAATGTTACATAGTAATGTTACATAGTAATGTAATGTTATAGAGTAATGTTATAAAGTAATGTTAATGTTATAAAATAATGTTATAAAGAAATGTTATAAAGAAATGTTATAAATGCTATAAAGTAGTGTTATAAAGTAATGTTACATAGTAATGTAATGTTATAGAATAATGTTATACAGTAATGTTATAATGAAATGTTATAAAGTAATGTTATGTTATTAAGTAATGTTATAAAGTAATGTTATAATATAATATTATAAAGTAATGCATTAACGTAATGTTATAAAGTAATGTTAATATTATAAAATAATGTTATAAGGAAATGTTATATAGTAATGTTATAAATAAATGCTATAAAGTAGTGTTATAAAATAATGTTACATAGTAATGTAATGTTATAGAGTAATGTTATAAAGTAATGTTATTGTTATAAAGTAATGTTATTGTTATAAAGTAATGTTATAAAGTAATGTTATAAAGTAATGTTATAAAGTAATGTTATACAGTAATGTTATAAAGTAATGTTATAAAGTAATGTAATGTTATAAAGTAAAGTAATATTATAAAGTGAATTCAATCCTATTACTTTCAAAAATGAAGAAAAACGAAGTCTATTTTAGCACGTTTCCCACAGAACCAAAAATCAAAACGAAACCAAAAATCAAATCAAATAAAGAAACAAAAAAAAACTCGTGTACGTACATGGCTTACTTTGGATGTATGCGTCCTTAGACTAGACTCAGTCGCGAACCCTTTCCCGCAGATGTTGCAATGGAACGGACGGTTTTTCGCCCTCTCCACTTGAGCGTCGTGGTTCCTCAGGTGCTGTTGAAGATTGGACAATTGGATGAAGGCTCTACCGCAGTCTGGGAGATGACATTTGTAAGGACGCTCTCCTAAAAATAAACAAAAAAGATTTGTTAGAACGGGTTACGCATGGATGATCTTAAAAACCTTTTTTTCTTAATGTTACTGTCTTCTTTGTTAAATTTTATTCATTAATCTTTGATTTGTAATAATTTTTATTAGGTATATGCATCGATTAAGTTTTGATATTTATAAAAAAAGTAGTTAATTTCAATATTTCAATTTTGAAGAAATTGAAATTGAAGAAAATGTTATAGAATCAAGAAAGCCAACATTTAAGGTTAAAGATAGGAAAGAATGAAGAATTTTTTTGGATTTAACTGTAATAATATGGAGAAAAATGTAAAATCTTAGATATTATACAAGCTGAATGAAAAAAAAAAAAAACCCTAAGAAAAATTAGAAAGGGAATGAGTTAAATCAATAATAATGTAGATATAAGCTCATATTCTTTCGGCGATGGTACTGCACATTATTTTTTATCAGGTATTATGACTATATAATATTTTACGTTAAGTACCGTTAATTTTTTTCGAATTGGACCAATATTAACGAAGATAGACGCAATATTTTATACACCCTGTAAATTGCATTAGCGAATGAGGTTTGGCAGTAGAAAAAAAGATATGTATTATTACAGGTAGCGCCATCTGGCTGCGGTTACATGAAATGAAAGATGATAATAGCGCCATCTAATGACAGAGAGATGATGATAGGTGATGGTAGCCATCTTAGTCCGTTCAAGAGAACATGTGGCTTAAAACTTTGAATTTTTGAACTTAATTGTCAAATATGTCATTGGCATTGTTCTGGGGTTATAAAAAGAGTCCTAATCGAGCAAATATTCTAATTCTAAATCATTTGATTAAAGAACTTTTTCTCAGATTTAATTCAGTTAACAATTATTGAAGATGTTATCATGAACATAAAAAATTGTAATGTGAATTCTAACTGAACTAAAACTGTTTTTAATAATTTTAAACAGTTATCAATGACGTTTATCTGTACTGCAAATCTTATAAAATGAATAATACCATTATCAATTAAATCTTCTGGATTTAATGTCGTATCAATTATAAAAGAACGTCAAGCATAATTAGTACTATAGCTATGTTGAAGAATAATTTTATCTAGTAATAACTAGAGAGAGGACATTTATTTTAATATACCGAGATGTAAATTAAAGAGTTTTTATCCATAAATCTTTATAAATTTATTGTGATACACTATCGTTGGATTCCCACGGAAGGCATTTCGTTTAAATGTGCATTTATTATGTCATTTTTTATTATTATTAAAATTATTGATTATTTTTGTTCAGATTAATAGTTGGTATTGGAAACGATACAGATTTATTACTATAATACCAACCAAATAAGTACATTATAAGTATACATAACCTATCAGATTTGACCTTTTGTCTCTTACAATTTTAAATGAACAACGAAATCATAGAAATTCCGATTAGACTTTGTCTAAAACTGTCAAATTTGACCTTTTGTCTCTTACAATTTTAAATGAACAATGAAATAATAGGAAAATCGGATTAGACTTTGTCTAAAACTGTCAGATTGGACCTTTTGTCTCTTACAATTTTAAATAAACAACGAAATCATAGAAATTCCGATTAAACTTTGTCTAAAACTGTCAGATTTGACCTTTTGTCTCCTACAATTTTAAATGAACAAGAAATAATAGGAAATTCCGATTATTAAACGATTTAAGACACCCGATGAAAATCTAAAAACGGATAGCAACGAAAATTACCGGTGGTTTCGAAATCTGTGGCCGATAGGGTCTTACGTATATAATCATATCGTAAGAGGCTGGTGAGTTAACAGCACCTGCTCAAGAATTATCGCTAAAAAATTACATTCAGACCGGGGTAGAATGACTAATAAGCCAGGTTAGGATTAGCGAATTTGTGTTCTATAATAACGGTTGTAATTTACGAATTTTTATCGATTTAATAAAAGATATTAAATTATTTTGTTATTACGAAGATTACTTGATAAGGCGCGAGGTTTGGAATGGATATTTTAGAGTATATTCGCTCAAAAAAAGGTGTGGCGCCCTCTACGAAGCTCTGATAAAAGTTTTAAATCTCCGTTATCTTAAAAGATACATTAATATAAATCATAAGTTCTACATTTAAAATTATTTTCAACTATAGAGTATGTCTCATTGCGTTATGAAAGCACAAAGTTTTAGATGACTCACTTTTATGTGAAATACATGATCTATTCAATAATATGTCTATTCTAAACCAAAAGAGTAAAAATAATCTTTTACTATGGGCAAATTTTTAAATTATTTGTCAAAATAACATTTTTTAAGCTTAATTTTGTATACATAATGATACAGAACTCAATGTCTTAATTTTCTGAAATAAATGATCCATTTTTTTAAATTTATTTAAGATTAAAAGGTGTTAATTTGAATTATAAAAAGTTTGAAGTAATTTAAGATTTATTGGTGATTTTTAAGTAGTTGTAATACAAAAAATTATGTACCCATAGTCAAATAAGATGGAAATTAAATATTTAGTATTGCATTATAAGAAATTTTTTGACACTTATTCATACTTTTTTGGAGACACTGTAAGACAATGTATTAGGATTTCATTTCCTTTTTTATTAGAATAAAACTTTGTGCTGTCAAAGCGTAATGAGATACCCTGTATACTTTAAAATAATTTTAGTACCTTTAATTTATATTAACAAGTTTTTCTTCTATTTCTTAAGATAATAGAGACTCAAAAGTAACCAATTATCCTGGGATTCCCTAGTTTGTTATCCTTAAACATAAAAAAAGGGAGTAACACTTTTTTTGACGTCTAGTCTCACGTCCCATCAAATCATTAACGTAATTAATAACAAAAGAAAGAAAAATAATGAAGACAAACTCTTTATGAATTAATTTAACTGACTAGTGTTGTAAACATTTTTTTTTTTAAAAGAGTGTATTTTCAATACAAAACAAACTTAAACTGGAAATTTTTTTTTTCACTTAATTATTTTGAATCGGATTTTAATGTTTACGACACGAACAATATACAGGGTGGTTCGTAAAGTTCCAATGACTAAACGGAAGACTTAAAAATGGTTAAAAAAATTTGTACGTTTTAAAAAATTTATATAAAATGCCCATTGAACCACCAAATGAGACGGTCATGACTATTGTGATAATGAAGTTATGTTTAAGACGAATTATAATGGTGATATTTGTTCCAAATTTTTGTATTTTTATACAAGGATCCCAGATACACCATCCCAGAAATTTCTTGATTAGGTCTTATCCATTTTCATTTCAAAAACATTTTGATTAATTAAGACAATGGATCACCCTGTACAAATTCCATTTTCAGTAATTTAAGTCTTATACTATAATTAAAATATTGTTTGCATTATTCTTAAAACATATCTATAATCAAAATGATTTGTTAAAAAATGTGACTTATTTAAAATATAAAGGAAATAAATTCCTTTGTTGTTTATTTTTCAAAATGTCCATTTTTCGAATTCAATACCCGGTATATCAAAAACTTATCGTAATATGGAGTTGCGCCCAAGTAAATTTTTATTTAGAATGGCAAGTACTACAACTTATCAAAAATTTAGACAATTTCCGTAAGAGGGGTTCCTTCTTTTTATTATTTGTTTAAAAATACAAAAATTCGGAAAGCTTTTAGACTAAAAATTCCGTTTAGCAAAAGATTATCTGCACACACCCTGCGTTTATGTGTGATTGAACCTATATATAAATAGTGAAAAGTGTTGGAAAAGACCTTTATTATATTAATTTTGAATTTACAATTTATTTTTGTAGTCTACTGAAAACGCACCCTTAATAGACGAACTATTACCTGCAGTCTTTTTGGGTTTTTTATTATTCTTCTCTTCTAAAAATAGAAAAACAAGTATTAGTAAAATCTAAATGATATAAAATGATTAGTATGCAAACCCTATGAAAACTGCTTCAAAATAGATATTAATTTCGTAAATAATTTTTATTTAACTTAATATTATGTACTTAATCTAAGTTTAAAACATGCCCTTTGAGGTGCAAGGCAATACATTTATTAACAAAGAAAAATACATGCCTTAAAACAAAATTTAAAGTTGTATTTTGGAGAAATATTCAGAGGATCATTACATTTTTTTTACAGAAAAAAAAAGCTGTCAAACTGATGCATTTAAACATTTAGATTTAACTAATCATGCCATGCTTATAATAGGGAAGTATTTATCAATCTATAGAAGAAGGAATGCAGTAATTTAATTTGTAGTACAGACGTACAGATTCAAGAGGTAGACATTATATTTATACCTCATCCACCAATGCTTATTTGTAGTTAAAATGAAATTTTTTTACATTTGATCGTCCCAATGTTTCTATGTTCTTTACTGCAATAAACTTTTTCTTTTGACATATAAGTCAGACTTTATTTATTCATTGCGTGAGTATTTTAATTGATTCGAAATTTTACATACAATTATATAAGGCGTATTAGAAAATATTGCAAGCAGAAATATAGCCATAAATATTGAGATTTAAATAAAATTTTAATTTGAAATTTCCATAGTTGGTATGTTTCTGAATTTGTAAGTTTTTCAATATGAACACCTTCATCTGATGAAGTTGAAGCCATATCAAGACATATTGGTATCGTTGTTGTTTTTACTTTTATGGTCTTACTTTTATTCAGAATATACTGTGCCCATAACCTGTTTGTTTAAATTAATTATTTTTATATCATATCAAAAGAAATTAAATTTCTGCTAATACGGCATCCATCAAATCCTATAGAGAACCATGCAGCCACATAGACAAAATTTGTCATTTTGGACAGAATTTTTATAAATTTTAGATCCCTAATTTATGTCCATCTTTTTAAACACTTCAGAAATACATTTTTGATTAAAAATTGTATTCAAATGAATGCAGTTTAAAATAAAACTTAATATCACTATTGCTATTAACAAATACAAAAAAAGAAACTAATTATGCTTGCAAATAAGGAAAACCA